ATTTGAAATATATTATATTATCTTAAACATCAAGAGATGGGTGGACAGATTTATTCCAGTTAACTGACATTATAATAATTTGAAATATATTATATTATCTTAAACATCAAGAGATGGGTGGACAGATTTATTCCAGTTAACTGACATTATAATAATTTGAAATATATATATACAAAATATAAAAACCTAAACTGATACTCACCAACGATACATATTTCTTCTCCGGCAGCTTTATAGCTTCTAAATCCTTCGTCACAACGACATTCTCCATCTTCATTACAGACAGCATGCTCGTCATAAAAGAAGCATGATTTATTGTACTTACAACTTTCCCATAGTCTGGCCGCTAAACATGAGTAATATATTAACATATGTAATACAACTTTTCAAGTTATTTTCAATTACGTTATCAGTTCTCTTTTACCTTTTGTTCACTATCAAAATAAGAGTGATCTCTCCCTGATAAAAATAATGTGGAAGACATTAAAAAAAACAACGTAAAAATATTATTTATAACACACTTATTTATGTGTCTAAAGAGTTTGAAGTTAAACACAAAGCTGCCCCCCCAGTGGCACAGCGATATGTCTGCGGACTCACAACGCTAGAAATCGGGTTTCGATACCCGTAGTGGGCAGAGCACAGATAGCCCATTGTGTAGCTTCGTGCATAATTTACAAACAAACAAACACAAAGCTACACACTGGTTTGTTTACCACGAGTATCGAGACCCAGTTGGTAGGGTTGTAAGTCTGCAGACATACCGCTGCGCCACTGGGGGAATCACTAAAGAGAATATTTATTACAAAGAAGTCTTGAGGTGCATAAAATCTCCTTACTTTCGGGATTGTTGAGTAATTTATAACAAAGCATGATATTTTTATGGATATTACTAACATAATAATAATAAATAGTGTTTATTAGAAGTAAGAAAACGTACGACTTCACGTATCACGAAAAGCTTTCAGTCAATAAAACTGTAAAACTCGTAACTTATAGCGAGAACGAGTTGAAAAAAAAAGGTGAAATTACCAAAAGATATTAAGAGGAAAACAATATCAATTTTAAAGCGTTTATTTCGGACATTTTTTAAGTATCGTGTTTTTACAAATATTCTTATATATATCCCTTGCTGTTATATCATTGACTTAATTAATAACTAATTCTCGTCGATTAAATTAAGTCTACTTATTCAGCATGTCAGACAAAAATGGTCGACTTACAAATTTTGAATGTTGTATAACAATAAAGACTTTTTTGGATGCTCTCATCACACGAATATTTACTAATTCACACATGCTATGAATAAAAATAACATTAATCATCAAGTTATGTTCGTATCAGATGAAAGAATATACATATGGCGTATATAAAGTAGTGTGGAGAACATGTTTCATCTTTGAAATATAATATAGATTAGATTAATGTTTAAATCCTGATATGCACGAGCATACGTGTGTTTTCTATTTAAATCTTTTAACAAATGTTAGTAGTTTATCTGTGTCTAATGTTTTAATTGCGTAAAAACCATTTTTAATAGCTTACGTTCGAGCAGAGAATATTGGCTCGTCTTTCTTGAAAATAGTTTATAAAGTTATCAACAGATGCCACTAGTATTTTGAACTAATTGTCACATCTTTCTAAGCCTTCGTATTACGTGTACTTGTTTCAGTTAAGGTCTTTTTGAACCCAAGAAAATAATTATTCTTCATTAGATAAAATGTATATAGAGAAAAAAATTAGGTAAGATACATACATTGAAATTAGGCCTGATTCGAAACATCGATTCTGTTCATCAATATAGCGTTTTAGACAAGTTTTTATTTTATTGGATTAATTTTTTAGAACTATTGTTTCTTTCTTTTTTCAGCTATGCTTTCTTGACCGTCTGTTATTAAGCACAAAGCTACACAATGTGTTATCTGTGCTTTTCCCATTGCGGGTATCAAAACCCGATTTTCAGCGTTATAAGCCTCTCAAACTTACCGTTGACCACTTGGATGCCTTGAGCGATTGCCAACCTATGTTATGGTTAAATACGAAATTAACACAGTTTAGACAAACAGCAAGTATATCACATGAAGTACAACTGCATAAAAGAATGTTTAAAGTATAAATGTAATAACGATAATATGAAACTATGCAAAGTTTACCTGCCGAAGGTTACAAATGAAATTAATAAAAGATAGAGCGAAAACTTAACCTTTTTCCCATATAAATGGAATTATACAAAAATAATCATTTTACTTTTTAGCTTGGTGGTATATTACTAAAATTCAGGGAGTGAGTCCTGAACAAAGCTTAAATATATATATATATATATTCATTTGATGAATCAGAATTAAAAGGCGATTAATATCCACTCTCATCTTAATTATTGTCATTATTTTGATTCGTTTAAAGAAAATCACTTAGAACGTAAACCATTAAACCTGCATCCACGGAAATACTTAATACAATATATTCGAAACTTTGTTTCAGTTCTCAGCTCGTCAGAAAACAATAACTGCAGAGGCGTCGCTAGGTGCTTAAAAGATTCGGGGCTCGAGTCCACAGCCGCGGGAATTTTTGGCGTTTCATATGATTCGATCGCGGTTTTTTATTCGGATTTTTCAAGACACCAACTGGGGATTAGTTAGGGTCACGGGCTCCGTCTCCCAGTGCCTAGCGACGCCTCTGAGTAAGTGTAATGAAATCCAAAGAAACGGCTTACCCTTGACACAGTCTTTATTGTTAATATTTATTGGAAATTCCTTTTGGCACTCACACCGTTTACTTGTCATGTTGCAAAATATGTGACGGGAGATATCGTGACACGTATTTTCGCAAAGATCTCCAACATGAAATGCGATTCCTATAAGTGAGAAGAAGAATGGAAATTCATCAGATACCCTATCGTTCTGATACCTTCATGATGTTAGAAAAACACGTAGGTTCAAGAAGTCTTGATAGAAATGAATAAAAACCCTATAACCCGAGCGCTTTCGAAAGGTGGACCTTTCTTCTTTCAGGGGCAAACTGATACCTTCGTTCTGATACGTTATGAGTGCAAAACTTTAGCGAGAAAAATTGTATAGTGCCGTATTCGAGCCTTCGGCAAGTGTAAAATAAATACGTCCTCATGCTTAACCTGTTTATCTTTGTTCCTCCTGTGTCAGTCTTCCTGTAATGATTCTGATGAGTTTATGCATGGTTTAGTTACGAGACTATAATTGAAGAGCTACCACTAAATAAACAGCGTTAGCAAGCCCAATGAATAAGTGTCAGCGGGGATGGGGAATGGGGGGGGGATTAAGTGAATATATATTCTACAATATAATTACTTTCTCAAGGTATAATCATTTCAGCCGACAAGTAATGTTCGGAGCAATAAACTCTCGCGAAGGCAGGCATTGTTTTCCATTCTTCACAGAGCGACAACCAATTATCCTAGAAATGTACAAGATGGAGACAGGGGGGAGGGGAGAAGACAATTATTACCGGGAGAAATATTTTAGACGTCAACACGTTATCCGTGTGTTTACTAAGAACTTCACTAGCGACAGCTAATATTAAAGTTTATCTAAAAAGATCATTAGAATGAGACCGTTTCCGCCTTTCTTGTACATGTTTGTTTGTTTGTTTACTGTTAAGCACAAAGCTACACAATGGGCTATCTGTGCTGTGCCCATCGCCGGCATCGAAACCCGGTTTTTAGCGTCATAAGCCGCCGAGCCACTGGAGGACTCATGTAAATGTAAATGTAAACAAACGCTGTATTTTGTATATATTTCAGGGAAATACAAAATGCGTTATTTTCTGTTTCAAAAATCTCAGTTGGCAGATTGGCTTAAACGTTTTAAATTTCATTAACAATAATTTCAGGATCAAGTTTTGGGAGTTGAGGTTTGGAGATAAAACAATAAACTATTTTGGTATTTTTTAGAACGAATAAACAAATTGTGTTTTTGAAAAAGCATTAATTAAGAATAGATTTGAAAATGTAGTTTCCTTAAGAAGCTGAAAGGCGAAACGTTGAAAACCGTTGTTAACCGTTTATTTCCATTAAATAATGTTTACGTTATTACAATCAAGAACGTTATTTTGTTGAAAAGTGGAAAAATAAACTTTAAATAATAATTTGTTTACATAAATGTAATTGGTTGTAAGGAAACAGTTAATTATTAGATTAGTAGAATTATATGTTTAGACGCAACAGGCTAAAATATTGTCACAAAACTCAGCCGCTTAGTAAGAATTCTTAAATGTATTATTCTCTGAAGCAGAGAATGTAAGTTAGAAATGATTCACCGCGAAATGACGGGGAACAACAACAATGAGGGGGGTCAGAATCACGAGAAAGAAACAGGAGGAAAATTTTGCATTTACTAGTACAAGAAGCAAATATATATATATATATATATAACATAACCTACAATTTATTTATTGTACATGTAGATGAACGCGCCAACAAAGTTCTAATATAACGATGTAAAATTATACCGTTTGTACAAAAGTACAAAATATATCATTTTAAAGGGAAAATGGTTGCGGTTATAGCTTTCAAAAACATTGGGGATATTCCGTCTATCAAAACAACAGATGCGGAACTAGTCAGCACGTAATCGAAAAAAAAGGAGGGGGATTAGGATCTGGGTTCTAAAACCCACAACGTTCCAGATCCCACTATCACTCACCGTTTATAGCCGGTTGTGGGTATGATAGTTATCCCTAAAAAAACACATAAAAATATAAATTAGACATTACATCATCCTTAATTTCTATCGTTGATCATCCAACCTTATCCCTAATATATTCACTCCATCATATTAAATTACGAAATATATTAACACTTTATCACTGCAAGATATTAATAACTATTCAATACAGTATAAGCAGTAATACTTCAAATAATATTTCAGTTAATGTTTTTACTACTAACCATAAACCCATCTATATAGTTCTGGTACAAAGTGTATGATGATCTTTTTCTGCCTTCAATCATACGTAAAAGTGTTCAAGAAAAAGTATTTCTTATAAAAGTATTACAACCATCTGTTAGCTTTAGATACAATAAACCGATAGGACCTTTTATTGTTAACTATAAACAATTCATTGAAAATCTTAATCCAGAAGATACTGATAATTTACCTTGTAAATGTAATAATAATAATACGTTTACTGATTCTTTTAATAAGCATATTATTACTGGTGATTTGAATGTGATCAAAGATATTGATCTTATAAACATTCTGAAAAAAGGAACTAAATTTAGAATCTTAAATAAAACTACAAAGAATGAAATAATGATGAATATATTATAAAAATTAGTAAAAAATGTGTATACCCCAACGATGTTTCTTTGAATGGAAAATACTTATTATGAATAACATTAGAAATATGTTAAGGTATTTAAATTTATCTAGTTATACTATAGATATTCATTTTCCTATTTTTAAAAGAAAAATCAATGAAATTCAAAAACTATTTGTGATTACTCCAATCGATAAAGCTAATATCAACTTTGGATTTATATGTAAAAACTTTTATGCACCGGTTATAATAAATGAAATTAGCACAACAAAAACTTTTACTGAATTTACCTCAGATAAAAATACAAATATTAACAACTTACATAAAATTATTTAAAAAATGTGATATACCTGTTGATTCTAAATATTTAAATTTACCTTTCTTATACGCAATTCCAAAACTACATAAAACTCCAAATAAGTTTCGATTTATTACAAATCCAGTAAATGCCATTTCCAAACCAGTAGCTATCATATTAAATACAATTTTAGATTTACTATTTTCTGAAATAAAGATAAAATCTCTAAATATTTCGAAACATGTATTCTGGATAATAAAAACAATACAATTATCAGTATCTTCTGGATTAAGATTTTCAATGAATTGTTTATAGTTAAAAATAAAAGGTCCTATCGGTTTATTGTATCTAAAGCTAACAGATGGTTGTAATACTTTTATAGGAAATACTTTTTCTTGAACACTTTTACGTATAATTAAAGACATAAAAAGATCCTCATACACTTTATTTTTAAAATCTATAACAATATGTGATTTTTCTAGGTTATCTTTTATAGTGTTTTTATCATCAGGAAATATACCCAATTTAATTTAAATTTAATTAAATCCAGAACAAGATCCTTAATATGCACATTTTAGAATTCAAACGTATGTGCTATGCCTCATAAATATTTTATTTTATTCTCAAATTTAATTCAAGAATATTTTTAATAATATCTTTAACAATATTACTAGTGTTGGTCTAAATAGAATCCAACTTCTTACAAAATGTTTTGAAATTAATCCAATTTGCATATTTTTTACCTTTCCCCGGTTTTCTAGTCTTTTTCTTATTGTAGACATCAATATATAAAACAATCGTAGTTTTATTTTGAAATTCCTGATTTAAACCATACGGGTAAAGAGTTTTTTCTTTTAATATAAAATACTCTTCCCTTTCTGTTAGAATGTCAACATTGTGAACTTTTTCTAATATAGTAATTTTAACATGACCATTTATATCAGTAACCAGGGTGAGCTAGGTGCCGACGGTGTACTCAAAATCACCAACGAATAAATCAAAATGCATGTCTGAGCTAAATGATGGAATTGGCAGTTTCTTATTGACCTCACACTGGAAATACGGCGGGAAGAAATTCTGTGCTTTTTTAATTACTCAAAATGACGCCATGACAGAAACAAAGAGTGCAATCGTAAAAATGCCGTTCCTTCCAAGTGACCCTTTACTATCTTTGCTATGTAACATGACGAAAGTCATGTCTGTTAAAATGGTCTAGTTCAGTTGAGTGTGGGAACCTTTTTAGTTTTTTACTTTGCAATCTTTGTAAATTAATTCTCAGATGTAAAGGATTTGTAGTTTGACCTACATATTTAATATCGCACATACCACATGTTAATAGGTGTACTACATTGTTCAATTTACATAGAAAGGGAGGAGGAAGTGGTACCAGAACTATATAGATGGGTTAATGGTTAGTAGTAAAAACATTAACTGAAATATTATTTGAAGTATTACTGCTTATACTGTATTGAATAGTTATTAATATCTTGCAGTGATAAAGTGTTAATATTATTACTAGATAATGCACAGTAAGGTTGTATATTTCGTAATTTAATATAATGGAGTGAATATATTAGGGACAAGGTTGGATGATCTACGATAGTAATATTTAATTTATATGGGGTTTTTTTAGTAATAATTATCATACCCACAACCGGCTATAGACGGCGTGTGATAGTGGGATCTGGAACGTTGTAGGTTTTAGCACCCAGTTCCTAATTCCTATTTTTCGGTTACGTGCTGACTAGCTCTGCATTTGTTGTTTTGATTATGTCTGATAGACGGAATATCCCCAATGTTTTTGGGAGCAATAATCGCAGACATTTTCACTTTAAAATGATACCCTTGTACTAAAGGTATAATTTTACATCGTTATATTACAACATAACGCCCCCACGACTGAAAGGGCGATCATACGTGGTGTGAGGAGATTCGAACCCGTGACCCGCAGATTCCGAGTCAAGCGCCCTAACCACCTGCCCATGCTGGGCCAACAGAGAGAGAGACCTTATATACGGCATGTGTTTCGTGAGAGACCAAAGCTGCAAAGAATAAAAGAAAATTAAACGTTGAGGCGCAAACTTCGCCTAAAAACTCTGGTTGTTTGGTGTTCCAACATAAATTTGAAATTACATTCCACGAGAGCTATTAAAACAGTCAAAACAAAAATGTACTTTGTATTGCAAATAATATAATCCTCACCACTCACCACTTTTTGTAAAGGAATTAATATTATGATTTAAAATTTCCATTAACTGTTTTAA